TATATTAGAGAGGAATGTTTTTAATGACAATTTTTAGATATTTAAGGCAGCCAATATTTTGGTAAGTTTAATTCTAATATACATAAGGAATACAGTTGAAATTCTTCCTCATTAGCTCTTCCTCAAACATTATTTTGGCTCCAGTCTGAAGATAGAAAATCTTCATAATCATCTAGAAAACCATCCTTCTTTTAGAAGGGCTTACTTGTTGCTTGATACATAGACTGAAGAAGGTGGTAGCCACCCTGTGAGGACCCCTGGAGTTTGAATGTGAGATTTACATAGACGTGTTATACAAGACTAGTACTTTACAGAGCCTCTCACAGGTTACACCATTCTCACTCCTACATTTCTGATGGCCATTATCTGTGTATCTGTTCCTGGCACTTAGAGTACTATCTGGCACAGGTTAGCACTCGGTAAATATCTGTGGAAGGAATGAAGGATGTCCTGAGCTCCAGTAATTTTCCCAAAGTGCTCAAAACGTAATCTTCATTTTTGTGTAGCTACGAGGGCCATAACAACTTTTAGTATGTTAAAAGTATATCTTTAATAAAGGATAATTAAAGTGTTTCTATAAAGATGCAAAACTTTCAGAATGTTCTCAGACAAGATTCCTAGAAAGTAGAAATACATGTTTATAACATTCAGAAGAATGTGATGGTGTGGAGAGGTGTAGCTGGGTTCCCTTAGGAAAAGGGCATAGCACAGCCACCCCTTGACCTGGCTGTTGGACTAGCTTTTATGAATTATTGATGACAGTACAACAATAATACCCTAACTCCATTTGTTCAATAAATATTTCATCACTGTCAGTAAATAATCCCATACCTCTGACTTTTCAAATATGTCTTGGTAGAGGGGTGGGAGAAATAGACACTAAATATTTATTGGGCTGATATCATGGAAAGGTCAGGAACAAGAATATTTTAAGAGGACAAGCAGACAGTGGATCAGATGAAAAGAGAGGGAGTTAGCCATTATTTAGAGAACAGAGTAGCAGAAGGAAGCACAGGTTACCACACATACATTGCAACAGCTTCTTGAGGGGAAAGTGTGATGTGAAATAAAGATTTGTGAAGGAAGTGTGAATGCTGGGATATGTTTAGGGGACAAAGAAGCAGCTTACACTAGAAATTTAACTGAGAGTGTCGTGCATGCCCTAGATGGCTTTTCTAATAAACCAAACAACCAAAAGTTCAACAAATTATTCAGAACATTTCTTCCAGCACTCATTCAAAGCCATTCTTGGTTCACCAAAAAGTCAGGAATGGCACAGGGATTAATGACATTGATTTAATTTCAATTGGCAGTTCACTTTTGGAACAGGCCTTATGTTCTTTTTTTTTTTTTAATTTTTATTTATTTATGATAGTCACACAGAGAGAGAGAGAGAGAGAGAGAGAGAGAGAGAGGCAGAGACACAGGCAGAGGGAGAAGCAGGCTCCATGCACCGGGAGCCCGACGTGGGATTCGATCCCGGGTCTCCAGGATCGCACCCTGGGCCAAAGGCAGGCGCCAAACCGCTGCGCCACCCAGGGATCCCAGGCCTTATGTTCTTATGAGTAATTTCCTACCAGCCATATAAGATTTAAAATTTAAAATTTTTTTTCAGTGTACTGTACCAGAGTTTTAGTCAAATTTCAAAAATTATTGAAATGAGTATGTGAAACATAAGTGGTATTGTTTATAGCTTAATAGTTTTTTACCCCCTCTCTGTGGAAAGGCTACTATCTAATCTTGAAAATTGAGTAGAGACTGCTTCCTTTTTTTTTTTTTCCTCTCTTTCCTTTTAAAAATAAATTGCTAATACTCATTTAGCATATGATGTGCCAGGTGCAGTTCTTAGCAATTTACATGTGTTTTCTAACGTTATCCTCATAATATCCTAAGAAGTAGACATTGTTATACTCATTTTTAAAGATGACAATATTAAGTCCCAGAGAGGACAAGTAACTTGCCTGAGCTCCCACACCTAGTACGTAATAGAGCTAGAATTGGAATCCAGGTAGTTTAGCTCCAGAATCCGTGGATTTTCATCACGTTCTTCATAATTACTCCCATATACTATAATTACCGCTTAAGAAATGTTAATTCTCCATAAGCTTTTTATTAAGAATTTATGATTTGATCAACATGAATTGATTTCAAATTATCACTATGATATGTGCTTTAAAAAAATTAAATAGGTATTCAGTTTTTTCTTTTATTCAGTTACAGTCCATGACATTAAGCTCATATTATAGATTCTTGTTATATTATAGAACTTGACCTATATCTGCTTGGTTTAGATATTGGGCAAAGTTTGAAAATCTAACTTTATTTTCATCTTTCTATACTGCTGAAAGAAGTTTAGATTGGACAGCTTTCAAATATTTTAGCATTTATTTAGTATGATATTTATAATATTTTTTAAAGTCTAATGAATGTTATGAAAACATGTAAGTCAGTATCTAGCATTCATAACAGTGCATATACGCTCTACACACACACACACACACACACACACACAGAAATACAGAATCAAAACAGAATCCAGGAGCGCCTGGGTGGTTCAGTTGGTTAAACATCTGCTTCAGTTTAGGTCATGATCTCAGGGTCCTGAGATTGAGCCCCACATTGGGCTCCCTGCTCAGCGGAGAGTCTGCTTCTCCCTCTCCCTCTGCCTGCCACCCCCCCCCCCGCTTGTGCTTTCTGTCAAATTAAAAAAAAAAAAAAAAACTTTAAAAATAAAAACCAGAATCCAACATTGATTATTGCCATAGGTGTTTTGTTTTAAAATAGATTTACTGTTTTAGTTAACATACAGACACATATAGCCTGGACTTCTTTGGACCTGGATTTAAAATAAATTGGGGTCTTCCAGACTTTGAGAATATTCAGGAAATTTTAATTTAAAAAAATATTTTATTTATTTATTTGATAGAGAAAGTACACAAGTAGGGGGAAGAGGAGAGGGAGAAGCAGACTCCCCCCATGCCCACCCTTGCTGAGCAGAGATCCCAGGGTCCTGAGATCATGACCTGAGCTAAAGGCAAATGTTTACCTGACTGGGCCACCCAGGCACCCGGAAATTTTAATTTTCAATACTGTTTCTCTGAGCAGTGAAAATGGATATTTGTAATATCCCTTCCAATAGCAACAAATAGTTAGAAGAGAGACTTGAGACTTAATATTTCAAATATTATTTTAATTTATTCAACAGATATTTACTGCAGGCTTACTATATGCCAAGCCCTGGATCTGTAGCAGTTATTAGGAAGGCAATCTGTACATCCTTCTTATGAGTCTTCTACTAAAGAGGGGAGAAACAGCACTGTCTCCTTTTGTGGATCTGTAGCTCCTTACTTACACCTCCATGGTAGCAATTAACTATTGTCTCCTTGATCTTGTTATCTCATATGTATTGTGTCCCCATAATACATCCCCAGGAGTTTGAGAGTTTCATGGAAATAAAAACCGTGGGCTACCAAGGTTTGGAACTTACTTGTTTTAAGATTTTATTCGTTTATTTGTGAGAGACACACAGAGAGAGGCAGATGGAGAAGCAGGTTCCTCGCAGAGAGCCTGATGTGGGACTCAGATCCCAGGACCCCAGAACCATGCCCTGAGCCGAAGGCAGGTGCTCAACTGCTGAGCCACCCAGGTGCCCCTGGACCTTATTTGTATTGAGTTGCAGCTGATGGTGGTAAATTGTTCAAATAAAGGATTGAAGCATAGTGAGAAGATTGGAAGGTCCACTCCATGAGAGCAGGGATGCCTTTGCCTGTTTCGTCACTGCTGTATGCCCAGGGTCTAGTACATTCCCTAGAAAGCAATAGGCACTTAGTCAATATATGGATGAATGAATTCAAATCAACTTGTGATTTAGATTTGGGTGAAGTTTACATAGGGACAATAGTTAAAGGTATTTATTAATTTAATCAGTAGTTCTTTTGGATCTACATATGCTATGGACTATTAGGCACTGGAAATAAGGTCTTAACCAAAACGGATTCTTGTGGCAGAGAACAAGATCTGTAAAGGAAAGCCAGATTTCCGGTGAGAATTTTCAATGGACAGCCACAGTTGGGGAAGGTCGATTAAACAAGAGGATCTTTCTATCTACTACTTGATTCCATCATCTGCAAGTTGAAACTCTGGAACTAAAAGCAGATTGGGGTCACATGAACCAAGAAAGGAATGTCTTTGCAAGATAGAGAAGGCGAGTGGTGTCAGGCACTGCCTGGGGTTGGAAAGGATATGAAGTGGAGTAAGTTCATTACTTTTGATGAGAGAGAAGTCTGGTCCTAGAAGGAATGTGTAGCTAAACCAGCATCTTCATTCACAGGCTGAACAGTTAGTATACTGTTATACAGTTTCATTAAAAAGCTTTTATAGTTCAGGTACCTGAATTTTTTTTAGTGAAGTTACTACAGTTGAAAGACTTCAGAAATGCTAAAGGGAAATAACATAATTCCGTGAACCGCTTTATAGGGAAATGGGACAACAGTGGGTGGGAATCACACTGGCTGGAGTCCTGGTTTTACTGCCTGCTGGGTTAGTGTGGTGAGCACCTTTGACCTTTCTTTTTGTTTGTTTGTTTGACCTTTCTATGCCTCAGTTTCCTCATCCATAAAATGGGGTGACTATAGTTCCTAACACGTAAGCTTAAATGAGAGAATACCTTCCTCATAGGATTAAGAAAGATAATGTGTACACAGAATGTGCTCACTCACCGCTGTGCCTGGCCAGATGTTCACTAAGTGTTTGTTACTGTTGTTCTGAATCCTCTTCCTGTTCTTGCTGAAATTAAGCTCTGCCTTCCCTGCTTCCCTTTCCCAGAACAGCTGGTACTGGGATCAGAGGGCAATTGGATGAGAACGAATTCTCTTGCGGATGAATGTGCCCATTCCATGATTCTTCTGTTGGAACAAATGCAGGACTTCTCTTTTATTGATTGGCTGCCAGACCTGTTATTTGGCACACTTAACTAACTAAAATTGTTGTTGTTGTTTTAGCTACATGAAAGTGGCTATGATGCTGGCAAAGCCCTGCAGCGCCTGGTAAAGAAGCCTGTGCCCAAACTGATTGAAAAGTGCTGGACGGAGGATGAAGTGGTAAGTGTGGATGGGAGCAGCCTTGTGGCCAGGGTCACCAGGGTGTTTGCTTCTTAAATGTCTGCCCTCTCTGCTTCTCTGGGGACTGTCCGTGGCATCTGTTAGTCAAAGGAAGGAGTCTTCAAGCCTCATAATTGTACAGGGAGGCTTGATCTTGGTAAGCTTAGTGGGAAGGATTTTCTCAGGTTTCATGGAAAGAGAGAAGAGATTGGTAGTATTGCTTGGCTGGTTTTAGCAAGCCAGCTTTTGAATACCTCCTTATTTTAAGACACAAGCATTTGTAAACCAGGTGATAACCTAGAGTGGAGCCAGTGACTTGCAGGAAGCATAGACCTGATTATATAAATACAGTGAATCTTTCATATTCATTATTTCATTATGGTCTATCAAAGAAGGTAGGGAGATAAAATATGTGCCCACAAGTACAGATTTGAATACTCATGGATTCCTGTCCCAGCAGACCGAGTTCTCATTAAGCTACATTCCTGTCTTGTGACTTCTGAAAGGTATTGCCATAAAAGACTTACAAATTACTTGTGCTTTTGCAAATACAGTCTTGTGTTTGAGTGTTACTGCTTGACATTTGCCCTTTACATTGACAGAAATTAAGATGAAGGCTGGCGCTGATAGACACATTGATTATAAGTTCGTCGCTGATATTTTAAAATACGTTAAGAAGGAGTATTTAGAAAATTTATGTGCTTTCCTGATCTTGCTCTTTCGTTTTTTTCAGCTGGTAGTATTTGTTACGTACTTACTGTGTGCCAGGTGCTATGTTAGGAGCACTATCAAGAACAAAAGGTCCCTCTTCCTGAGGCTTATGTTTTAAGAGGAGAGACCATCCAAATCAGTATATGTCAAGTGGTGGTACATATATGAGCCGAGTGGATAGAGTAGGTAACGAAGGTGGGGGATAAACTGGGTGAGGAGTTATCTTTCTTAAGGGGCTGAGGAAAAGCCTAATTAAGATCCATTTGAGCAGAGACCATAGTGCAGAGGCACGCCTTTTGGAACAGGGGCCCTAAGTTGAGAGGAAGAGAAATCTGGCCCCTGGTATGGTCAAGAAGGAGACAGGAACGTGACCAGAGTGGGAGGGGGACCGCAGAGGGTAGGTCACGTGTGGCCTGTGAACCCATGGCGCCTTGCTCTTTGCTCTGTGCTGGCAGATTCTGAGCAGAGGGTTAACTTGATCTGCTGGTGGGGCACACTTTGGCCCCTGAGTCAAACGTGGGCCTCCAGGGCAATTTCGGGCATCCAGGCCAGAGACCAGTGATTGAAGACCATGGCAGCAGTGTGGGAGAGAAGTGGTGAGATCCTGGGTGTGTACTGCCAGAGCAAGAGGCCAGTGGATTTGCTGGAGTAAAGGCTGTGTGTGGGTGGCAGGTGGGAGGGGCAAAGTGTGGAGCAGGAGGCCGCAGGGAGGGACTGAAGTGGCCCCTGAGGGTTTACTTAGGGGAGAGCCTTTTCAGGAGTCCATTGACACCTGTGGCTGATCAGGTGTGTGACGTTGGTGCTCTTGTCTTGAAATTAAATATTTAAAAACTTTATATGATCAGTAAAGGGTCAGAAACCTCTTAAACATTTGTTATTCAGATAGTCACAGAGTAAAAATGTGAGATTTGTTTGTTTTGTCAAGTCAGATGTTGTTTCTCACTGTGGACCCATTTTTGTTAGAAGGAAAGGAGAATTTTGATTGATTAAAAATTCAAGATTCCTCAAACAGCCTTGTTGGAAGAAAGATGAGTAGGGGGAAAGGATGGAAAGAGTGTGTGAAAGGCTGTTTATTCGGGGGCCTCCCAGCCAGGGCCCTTGCTCACCTGCACCCCGTGGCTTCTCAGCAACCAGGGAACTCCCATGCTTTCTCCTGCAGCCTGGCCTTCCCCCTGGGATTTAAGGACTCCCACTTAAAAGACAGCTGCCTTCCTTTCCCTGCAGCACTTGCTTCTCTTGGGCACAGTGTGGACTGTGTCCCTGCTGCTACTACCGTCGCCTGGGGCCTGGTAGCAGACCACAGGGCGGAAAGGGGAGGCTCACATGTTGGAAAGGCCTGGCTTTCTTTTGAAAAGTGAAACACGACTCCAAGATGCTGCACGTTCTGAGTACATCGTCATGATCCTTAGCTGAATAAATCCTTGTCGTTTGGACTCATTTTTGTCATCTTTGCTTCTTGTTTTAAGGAGGTTTTGAGAAAAGTGCTGTCAATCATCCAGTCCTTGCAGAACCCAGGGATCAAACGGTTCCCTTATTTATAGGAAGTTCAGCTTCACTTTCTAAAACCTCAAAAGTGAATGAGAAAGAGGGATTGAATCATTGATAGGCTGAAAAGAGCTTCTCATGAACTTATCCAAGTCAATTCTTTGACTAGCTTTATGTGGCAAGAAGACACAGAAACTCGAGGGCCTCTGGTTTTGGCTGTGAGAACATAACCTGCTGTGTGTATGCGGCCCCTTCTGTTAAATTCCCCACATTTTCTCACCCTGGGAATCATAGGAGTAAGCAAAGCAAGTGACTAAAATAAGTACATGGGCCTACACCCCCCACCCCCAGTTTTCTGTGTCTTTGGACATTTTAGTTATTTTTAAGCATCATTGCCTCCATTATATCAGTTTAATCAAACTGCAGCACTGTCAATGAAGTTATTTTCCATTACGTTTATATGAACTGAGTACTCCACGTGTGTGCAAGGGTTGGTAGAATGAGCACCTGCCATTGTGAACCCCCCACCATGCTACAAGCTGGCAGCCTGTGTGTGCCGTGGTCCCAGCAGGTGCACTGCTCCCTGACCAGATGAGTCTCTCCTGATATTGCCAAACCAAACCCTCACCACCCCTCAAGGTTCAGAACAGTTCCTGGACCCAGCCTGTCGTGATCATACCCTCTTCTGAGCTGCTTCTCCTGCTTGCCATATTTGTTGGTAGCTTGCCCCTCACTTTCTTCTTCCACCATCACCATCTCTGTTCCTCACAGTCTTTGTTTTCAAGTGATTGCCCTCCTAGTTGGTAAACTTCTTAAGAGTGAGTACTTACTGATGGTGAGAATAGTGTCTGCTAGAGAATGATGTCTTTGTCTTAGAGAGGCTTGAAGAATATTGACAACTCTTTATTCAAGATTACTGTTTTTAACGATTCTTTACCATAATTAAGATTGTCCTCAATCTAGCATTTTAAAACTTGTAATAGTTAATAACTATGCATTAGAGAAAAACTTTTACATGCACCCAAAGCTAACCTTAGAAGTTTTACTTTTGGAAAAAAATTTCCATATTATTAATAACACCATCCAACTTCTTCATCCTAGGTCTTTCAGATAATCACTAATTCTTGAGGTTTTAGGCCTCAAAATTACACAGTGGGAGGCCTTTCATTTTATATTTTCTCTCCGTGCTTCCTTTGACAACTTGTGTATATATAGATATGGTATTTCTTACTGAAATTTCTTTGGGGCTGAGACACTTTAAATCTTGTGGAACAGATGCCAGATTTGGAGCAATTTCTGTCAAATTCCAGGCCAGAGAATGACAGTTGAACTCTGCTTTAGTGGAATGACTGAGAAACACATTGGTAGCTAGCTCAAGGCAGTCTCTGAGGCTAAATAAACTGGGTCAGATCAGAGAGGCAGTTTGGAAGAAATGCTAGGTCAGTTGGATGGAGCCAAAGTAAATGGCTGGCTGCTACATTTGGGGTTGTATGGACAGTTAACCAGTTTCACTTACATTATGCTAAAAATATTGTTCCATTTCAGGAAGCCATTTAAATCAGTAGAACTTACGAAGAGAAACAGGAGAAAAATACTGATCAGAACTTAAAAGAAAAAGAAAAAAGAAAAAAAGAAACTCTAGATTATTAGGTTTTTAATTAAACATGATGAACACATTTAAATATAACACAAAGGCCCCAGGCTGAACTGCACCTAATCGAAACAGATTAAGTCACCCTTCCATGCTCGGGTAGTTATTAATTCTGCTTATTTATGCATGCGAGCTGAAGGTAGCATTTGCTGCTGCTGTGCTGTTGCTTTTTGCACTGGGATTCCATTGCTGCTTGATGCTGTGCTCTTAATTAGCATTCAGCTGTTGATTATGGAAATACTGGGGATGCTAATTGAATTCTTTTTAAAATTCTGGGCCTGCATTTTCCTTGTGGAGTTTGGCCTGACTTGCAAGGTTGTAAGATTGGGTACTCCACTGAGCTATGCACTTTACCCTTTGCTTCCCATCCACTTGGCTTTGTTTGTTTTGGAAATTATTTTCATGTTGAAGTAGCTTTCAGCAAAATTCCAGGTGTTCCATAAAGGTAAAGGTTTTGTTGCTTATGAAATTCCCGCAGAGCATTCCATTTCATGGTAACTGTAGCTTTTATCTGGAAATATGCTTCCCTTTAAATATTTCATACCAATTTTGATGTAATACTTTGAGTGAACAACCTAGATACAAATAATCTCTAAAATTTTTATTCATAGCTAGTTAATCTATGGTATGGTGGTAAACTTTAATTGGCCATGTATTTGGATTTGCAAATTCATAAATTTTAAAACATCTAAACTGTCCTTCAATTTAAAGCTCAGCATTATCATAAATATAAATGAAAATCCTTCTTTAAAATTGACATGACATGGCAAACTAATTTTCTGAATATTTGTAAACCAATGAACCCGTGTGGCTGGTCAAGGAATTACTTTCATAGAACACACCAGCTGTCTGCATGGTGTCTCTCCCAACAGCATCTTCACATGCTTTTGTGTCAGGCCCTTTTTGGAATGTCTGCTGGAGAAAACATTGTTTTTATGTTCACTCTTTTTAAGCCAGGCATCTGGATGTGGCAGAAGACAGAGCTGCTTAGTGGGGCAAAAATACAATGAATTTTATTTACTGTTTGTGTGGCAGCTGTAGAAAGTGGAATCACAGCAAAACCAAAGTTAAGGTCCTGTAGCAGCAGGAGGTTGTGGAGGCGAAAGCACAGATGGGGACAGTGACAAGGGGGAAGAGAGCCAGCCACCCTGCC